TAAACTCTTTGATCACGAATAGATGTGTTCTCGTCGACTTCATACACTAATACTAACGCTAAGTGGAATTGAGACGTGTTGTAACTAAGTGAAACGTTAAGGATATGACGTAACTAATAATAGATACAAAAATAAAGTGTTCGTGGGCGGGGCTGATAAGCCTTCCTTTACAAACTGTGACATCTTTGTACATATAGTTACCAAAAGCTCTTACATCTGAGACTTCTACATCACACGCGTTGCCACAAAGAAGTCGATGACAGTATTTCGGTTTTGAGGGCGGTATTCATAGACTTCAAGTTTTTGTTCTTCAATAGAATCCGATACGCTGTAAAGAGTGATGTTAAAATCTCCACCAAGAACCACTGGCAGATTGGTTTCGGAGTTTATTTTATTTATTACTAGTAAAAGGTCCTCAAATGTTTCCCTTTTTTCCTGTTCTGAAAGGCCGGTGTGTTCTCCGTGCCAAGATATCGCCACGAAGCTCGCTCCTGTTCTGATTTCTGTAAGCACAGAGAAGCTTGCTCGCTCTTTAAATGTCACCAAATCCACATGAGAATTGCCGTTGAACTCATCTCGGAATGACTCCATTAATTCTTCAGACCCTTCGTCTTCTATTACATCCCTACGATAAAGAACAGTGGCATCAAGATGCTTATGGGAAACAGCTTCATATCTTTCCTCAATCTTTGGAAAGTGGTCCTTTAAGTTGTCAAAACGCCATGGATTTTCTTGCAAATAAATGACAGAAGGCAGATGATCGCTTAAAAATGTGTTAATCATTCTCTTTTTATCGTCCCTTGTACCATCTCCACCACCAATATTAAATGTTACCACGGATAATGCCATATTTTCTATGCAAGGAGATTTCGAAGGACGATTACTTGCCTTGAGTTTTAGCTCAAGACAAATGGCCAGTGTTTTCTGGGGTTCCAGTTATTTGTCAGCACGGGGCAAATGGTAGTGCTGAAATAACGCTTTGTTTATATTCACTTTTAGTTTGCTGACAAATGGCCAGTGTTTTCGTTCCAGTTTAGTTTTTTTTTTGCCTAAATTCATTTCATTGCTGTGGTCGTGGCCATTAGATTCCAAAGACTTGCCATCATATCTATGTAGAGTAGCTTGTTGATTCTCCCTTGTGCTTCAAGGGTTTGTTCTCCAGGTTCTCTAGTTTTAATTTCTTCTCTTGATACAAGGGAGAGACCTAATGATCTCCCCTCAAATGAGATAAAATAAACAAGTCCAGGAATCAAACTCAATACCCAAGAAGTGCAAGCCAGTTTACCACCACTATGTTTGATTCCTATTAATTTTCATTGGGAAATGCAAGAAATTTAAATAATGAAATATCAAAAGCGCAGAGCACTGATTCTAAAAATAGCTTAAAGATTCGGACAAACATTGCATTCTGTTTAACCGCTACGAGGATTATGCGAACCGATTTTATTATTTTTACTTAAAGTTACAATAATAACCCATGTAAACTAAGATCAACTGTGATCGGCTGTGAAAATTATCTGCTGAAAGTAAACTTGTAAGTTTGTTTGTCCGAATTTTGCCTTTGTCTTCGTTTTTATGACATCACTGTTGCGCTGCGCTAGTGAAGTCAAAGTCAAAAAATATTCAATCATATTCAATGTATAATATTATTAATATATGTATTAGACTAACCAGAACAAAAAGCTTGTCACCCATCCCTCGTGTTCATGTACAGTTCGTAACAGCTTGCCTGGCTCATTAGTCGAATAGTCCCAAACTTTAATAACACCATCTATGATCAAAAACAAAAAGATAAATAAAATTGTGAAGCAGGTGTGTGCATTATGGGGGCACGAATATGCACATGTGCATACAATTTCTTTATCATTTCTATCCAAAGTAACAGTACAATATTGTATTTTATTTTTTTGTTTGAAAAGAAATAAAAAAGAATTGCTTGCTGCATGTGCTGTGTGCAGCTACAAAGCATTTGCAGTTTGCCAGAATGCTTGAGAAGATCACTGTTGTCATGTATCTTCTAAAACAGTTCCTCT